ATGCACCATTCTGATTATCTGCAAGTATCATGATACTTAGTAATATTACTGGGCTTGTTCAGATAATGGTAGGAGAAATAATGACAAGAAATATATAATATATATTTTTCGAAAATGCATTTTGCTTCAATAACGAATTGAAAATATATGTATATATATATAATAAATAATTCTATTTTCTATTCAATTGACGTTACATTCATCCCCATTATTCACCATATATATATTTAAAAAAAAAATATTTGACTATATGTATCTGCAGTGAAATCATGTGTCAAAAACCGACTTGATTTTCTTTTTCTTTTGGGGCAATTCTGTGGATTGAAACTACCTACAGACGTAGCCAATGGTCATCTCGTTCACCTGACTAATCGTAGCGAGTGTTACTGCGGGCACCAGCCAATCGACTAAGCCGACTGGTAGACCGCAGCGATTTTCAACTTGAGCTTACAAAGATATATAAGTTCACGCGCAACACTGCCACTTCATTCATCGAGTTTGAATAATCTGAGGAGATAGCATGGCACGTACCAAGCAGACGGCACGAAAATCTACAGGGAGGCAAGGCCCCCAGAAAACAGCTCGCTACCAAGCTGCTCGTAAAAGCGCACCAGCCACGGGTGGCGTTAAGAAACCGCATAGATACAGGCCAGGAACTGTCGCCCTCCGTGAAATTCGGAGATACCAGAAGAGCACTGAGCTTCTCATCAGGAAGCTGCCATTCCAGCGCTTGGTCCGGGAAATCGCTCAGGATTTTAAGACCGACTTGCGTTTTCCAGAGTTCAGCTGTCATGGCTTTACAGGAAGCAAGCGAAGCTTACCTTGTTGGTCTCTTTGAGGACACCAACCTGTGCGCCATTCACGCCAAGAGAGTAACCAATCATGCCCAAAGACATCCAGCTGGCCAGACGTATTCGTGGAGAGCGTGCTTATTTTAAGCTGTATTTCAAGTCTAAAGCAAACGGCCGTTTTCACGGCCACCTACATTCTTCGAAAAGATGCCTTCTGTTCAGACGTTGAAACATCTCTGAAAATAATGTTGAATTATTTGGCCGAAATTAATAAATTTTATCAAATTCAGCGAACAATGCCCCCAAATTGGAAAAAAAAAAAAAAAAAAAAAAAAAAAAAAAATTGTGAGACACAATACATCTTCAGTGAATATATCTGTGCCTTGCATATATATAATTACATAAATTATGAAAGAGCACAATGCTAGACAATTTCATAGTACTATTGTCATCATCAATTTGTTGTAGAAGTTGTCTACACATCTTGAAACTATATTTTGTACAAGTCCATCATCCTGCCCCTCTAGAATACATTCAAGAATTTTGCAAATAAATTAGAAATAGCACAATTATTTAAATAGAATATGATGGAATGTGTCGAAGCAAAAATATAACAGTATTACAACTTTATCTCATAGTTCTACAGCTATGCACATATGCGATGTACATGCATTCAGAACTGCAATTCCGTATTTCATTTATATTCAAAGTATGATTTTTATTGATTTCTAAACAAGTCAAATATAACGATATTCGTTCTAACGTGGCGTGTAATAAAATGAAAAAGGCTCATTTATAAGCCGGTTTGGTCACTGCTTAAAGTTGCCTTTGAAAATTAACTGAGAAAAAGAGAAATCAAATAAATGATCACATCTATAACTAGATATCATAAATGAATGGAAATCAAAAGTTTCATTCAGCTTCTACATTTTGTATTATTTCGGTGTTATCTGTCACACCCTTTCCTTTGAATAACTTAATCCCCACCCACCACCCACGTTTTAATTATCATTCGGCAACAACGGTATTTATTTTGTTAAACTCAAAGCAAAAAATACTGAAATAAAAAAAATAACAACAACAAAACAAAAAATTGTGTATGTTTATCCTAAAAAATTATGATGCTGTCTGTCCTGCTTGATATAATTCCCCTCTCTCTCTTTATCATTTTATTCATTTTCTGTCATGTTTTTTTTTTTTTTTTTTTTGTTGTTGTTTTGTATACCAGTTTGTATAAAATGTATATATGTACCTCCACGTACCAATATTTTGTTTAGGTGAATAAATTGAACATAAACTTGCCTATATGTGAAGAAATTAAAGAATCAAAATTAATTAAATGTGGTTAAATTCATGTGGGGCAAGAAATGTAAACATTCCCATCATGCCAAGCTGACCATCGTAAAGCTTGTCACAATACCGCTTTGGTAACGTTCCGAACTTTTTCAAAGCATCGTGCGCTCTCACGGGTCCTCAATTTGGACTATAAATTAGGCAATTAAGCATGATCAGTTCATCAGAACAGTACTACTGACTGAACTTATAACATGTCTGGGACGTGGCAAAGGAGGAAAAGGTCTTGGAAAAGGAGGCGCTAAGCGACACAGAAAAGTCTTGAGAGACAACATCCAGGGTATCACCAAGCCAGCCATACGCCGTCTTGCTCGCCGTGGTGGTGTCAAACGTATTTCCGGTCTCATCTACGAGGAAACTCGTGGAGTTCATAAGGTTTTCTTGGAGAACGTGATCCGAGATGCTGTAACCTACACGGAGCATGCCTAGAGAAAGACCGTCACAGCTATGGACGTGGTCTACGCTTGAAACGCCAAGGACGCACCCTGTACGGATTTGGAGGCTAAAGAATTCAGTTTGACAGTCAAGACAGAAGTTTAAAACAAACACAAACGGCCGTTATCACGGCCACCCAAATTTTTCGAAAAGATGCCTCTAAAACATCGTTAAGACAGACATTTACTTACTGAGTACTTGTTATACAGATATTCACTGTACAAAGTTGAATACAGAATGGTTGTAAGTGGTAAAATAAATACACAACAATAACAGAGTAAGACCCTTTATGTCGTAATATTTCCTCAAAACTATATACAGAGCAACAAATATGTATTGAATTTAGGTTTGGACAAGAAATATTGAATAAACACACACAAACAGTATATATTATTTAATTTTTTTTTATTATTATAATCATATATTAAAATAATAATGCTGCTGTCTTGAGTATTATTTTGAGGGATCGATCTACCGACAATGACAGGTACCAACTGGCGCTGAGTGACATGCTTTTTTTTCTTGTTTAACAATTATGACTAATGTTAGACAATTAATTGTCAATGTATAATTATCGCATTTTGGTCATTGCACTTTTATTGATGTATAATTACTGATTGAAAATTCCAATATGTCAATGTCAAAGAAAGGGGAGGGGGGGGGTCTTGAATTTATTTATCTGTTTCATTGATATTAGCTGAATTGAGATACTTTATTATCAATTATATAATGTACGCTGATAATTAATTCAGTATACAGAGGACAAATGAACCAGGATTTTGTGTACATCAGATGGACCTCGCATGCTTGTATTTTATTTATATTTGAAGATACAGTTATTTCAGATATATGCTTGGTTGTACATTCAAGTTATTTGTGAATAAAATTTGGCTCCTCATTCATATAATAATACCTACTTGTATTTCTTTATTTATCCTACTTCTGTTATTATAATCAGTTGTAAACAATGTGGGATTTTTATACGTTTGCCACTTTTACGAGCACATGCATTCACATTGTAACACTCGTACATATTATTTGTGTCTCAATAACGCATGTAATATGAAGGTATCTTTTCTAAAAAATTAGTTGGCCCTTAAAAGGGCCGTTTGGTGTGTGTACTTGCAAAATGAGATTATTTGCTGCTGGTGTACTTGGTGACGGCTTTGGTGCCCTCAGATACGGCGTGCTTGGCCAGTTCACCGGGCAGAAGGAGACGGACAGCAGTCTGGACCTCTCTGCTTGTGATTGTAGATCGCTTGTTGTAGTGGGCCAAACGAGAGGCTTCGGCAGCGATTCTCTCAAAGATATCGTTGACGAAGGAGTTCATTATGCTCATGGCCTTGCTGGAAACACCAGTGTCAGGGTGCACCTGCTTTAGGACTTTGTAGATGTAAATGGCATAAGATTCCCTCCTCCTCTTCCTCCTTTTCTTGTCTGTGCTCCTCGGTGTCTTGGCCTTGGTGACTGCTTTCTTGGCGCCTTTGGATCCGACTTTGGGTGGCATGATCTCAAGTTGACAGGTCAAACTGAAGAGATGAATAAAGTGAAATGGTAAAATTTACTATTTATATGCGAGTAGGAGGAGAAGCTTGTTACGGACCTCCGAGAAAACATTACTTGTTCGGATTTCACCTAAAGGCACAACAGAGCGACGCGTTAATTGGCTGCACCGTTGGATCCGCTTGGTTGTTTAAATTGGTGCGTGCGGGCGTCGCTGGATTATTCGTTGACTGTACACGAAAGAACATAACCGTTAAGAATGTCTGGACGTGGCAAAGGAGGCAAAGTGAAGGGGAAGGCCAAGAGCCGTTCTTCCCGCGCCGGACTGCAGTTCCCCGTGGGTCGTATTCACCGTCTGCTGAGAAAGGGCAACTACGCCGAGAGAGTGGGAGCAGGCGCTCCCGTGTACTTGGCTGCCGTTCTTGAGTACTTGGCCGCAGAAGTCTTGGAGTTGGCAGGCAACGCTGCCCGCGACAACAAAAAGACCAGAATCATTCCCCGTCATCTGCAGCTGGCCATCCGCAACGACGAAGAATTGAACAAACTCCTGTCCGGCGTGACCATCGCGCAGGGTGGTGTCCTGCCCAACATCCAAGCGGTGCTCCTTCCCAAAAAGACACAGAAAGCCGCCAAGTAAAAAGATCCTATAGTTGTGTTGTGTGCAGCACAAAACCAAACGGCCGTTTTCACGGCCACATAAGCTTTTCGAAAAGATACCTACATTACAAACGAGTTGAAACGTAAACAATTATTATAGCTAGAAAATAATAGAAACACACGAATTCAATAATTTTCAACACAGAACAGAGATCAAACATCAAAGAAAGTGTTATATATTTAATGATAAATAAATGTATTAAGTCAATAACAAAAGCAATAAATTTAAAAATTGACTCGCATGTATATTCGTATATGTACGTTTTTTCTTTCTCGTTATAGGCAGTTGAATCCAAACCTTATAGGCCTGCGTACAAATGTTGAATTCTCACTTATTACTTGAATGCTCACTCAACAAAGAGATAAGAAAAGAAAAAAAAAACCCATTTCATTGACCAATTAAGACTAGAAACTGCGGAAATCATCTAACATGGCGATCTAACTTTCAATTTTTTCCTTTAATACAAATATTTTTAAATATGATCATTATTTTATTAACATATTCAAAAGATCTGTAACTCCAGTTAAATCCTTAATGTTTCTTCTTCTTTTTTTTTTTCCCCCTCGCTATTGTTTTATATGATGATTATTTAGACAAAATTCCTAATTGATAAAATAGATAAAAGTGATGAATATAAGAATCTCATAAGAATAAGAAGATGTGGTTTATATTATGTCTTGAATGTTCTTATTCAAAAAAGTGTGCTTCCCATAATAAGAGTGAATAAAAGCAACTCGATGCCAGTTTCCGGATACTTACAGTACTAACACAATTAAACACTGGTAGTAAATTTTCTTTCGAATAGACTACCGATGCGAATGACTAAACGACATTTTTTTTAACACTTTACATTTATTGCGATGTCCATCACTGCGCCGTGCAGCACATCTGCATCGTCACGTGACATATAGATGCAGGGAATCATGATCTGCACGTGGAAAGTGTGCAACCAATTTGATGCTTGTATCAATGTATTGTATTGTCTTGTATTATATACTGGTTGTCTTGTTCAACTTGAAAGATATAGATTTTAAATACATTGGCTTTTGACCACATTCTGTTTATTTACATGTACTCAATTATTTGTGTGTGTAAATTACAAGAAACAAATTAATATCAATGAATAAGCTACTCCCATGATTCGCCTTGTTCGTCTCTCTCTGTCTCTCTCTTATGTATAACTACTAATTAAGTGAGTGTTCTACAATTATTAAATACACGCCCTTTTTATGTGATTTTTTTTTTTTTCATGTAATTTACAAGGATGTCAGTTATGTATATTCTTATGATATAATTATACTGAGAAATTCAGACGTTGTACCACCGAATGTGGTACGTTACGTACGGTCTGGATCTTCCCGGTGTCCTCGGTGTTATAATTATAAAGTAGGTGTCATGTATTTAAATATTCGAAAAGAAATTATATGTTGTCCCTTTAAGGGGGTGAACATCCACTGATCTAGAAAGTATATTAGATATATATTTGAACATTCAACAATTTGTGAGATTCCGTGATTTCTCTTCATATGACCCTTTTGTTTGTTTGTTTGTTTGTTTTTTTTTTTGTTGTTTTGTTTTTGTTTTGTTTTTTTTCTCTCCATTTCATATGAAATGCAAGGCACACATCACTATCCATTGTGCGCGTGTTTGTGCCGAATGTTTGCATTTTCATTCGGATTTTAAGTAACATATAAGACAATTGAAAGAAATGTACATGTATGTTTTATCGCATAGCAATGTAGTAAGTACTTCAATCCCTTACTCGTGTTCTATTCCTCTTGTTTTCGTGTTTTAATCAAAATTAGTCGCTTCTGGGCTCCAGGGAACAGCGCATTTTCAGAATCAACAGACAATTCCTCCTTTAAAATGACAGATTAAGAACCTTAAACGGAAACAGTTATGTAGGAAAATATTTCAAGAAAACGCACAGTGACATATTTGAGAAAATTAAGTAAAATTGGGAGGACAATATCGGAAAAATTACAGGTATTGAAACACAAAGTTGGACGAGTTCAATCCTCTACGCTGTCGACAATTGGGGAGTTTTCACGGAGGTCCGCGCTCGCCGCCACTCAAATAAGGCCATCGGCGGAGGTGATTTCATTCATTTCCTTATCGTCGATAACGTCGTTCACATCAGTTGTAGAAAACAGGACAAAAAAATTATGGCAGACGCCGCACCAGCAAAATCCCCCGCCAAGAAGAAGGTTTCCAAACCCAAGACGGTCCCCGCCCATCCCAAGTACATCGAGATGATCAGCGCTGCTGTGGCTGCCCTGAAGGAGCGCGGAGGTTCCTCGAGACAAGCTATTCTCAAGTACATCATGGGCAACTACAAAGTCGGTAATGACGCCTCTAGTGTCAACACCCATCTGAAGATGGCCCTCAAGAACGGAGTCAAGAAGGGAGTTCTCAAACAGGCCAAGGGTACAGGTGCCAGTGGTTCCTTCAAGCTGGGAGAGAAGCCCAAGACGGAGAAGAAACCCAAGACCAAAAAAGTCACCAAACCTAAGGCTGCCAAGCCCAAGAAAACGACCAAACCCAAGAAGACAACCGGGGAGAAAAAGCCAACAGAAAAGAAAAAGGCTGTTAAGAAACCTGCAGCACCCAAGAAGGCCGAGTCTCCCAAGAAGAAAGCAGCTACTAAGTCTCCCAAGAAAGCCAAGGCAGCTCCAAAGCCTACGAAAACCAAAGCGCCCAAGAAAGCCACAGCCAAGAAGTCAAAAACCCCAAAGAAAGCCACCAAGGCGTAGGCTGCCAATTGTCTTAAACCAATTACAAAAGCCCTTTTCAGGGCTACCAACATTTTTAGAAAAGATGCCTCTATTACATA